ACATGGTAATGCCAAACACAATGAACGAGCTTAATGCGGTTCGCTGCAGGAGTTTTGGTGATTTAAGTAACTTCAACCACAAACCGCTGGAACATTTGGTGCACTTGCATTCACACTTTTCCCGCATCGGTTTCATTCGTTCCTCCAGACGAGTGGCTTTTTCCAAAAGTTCATCAAAGTACTGCTCATCACGAACCACTTTGCGTCTCTGATTAATTTGACAGCCTCGGTGCATTTGTTTGATCGCTTTTCTCAGCTGTTTACGTGAGATCAACCATCGAGGGGATTCGGGCACAATAAGTGGGTAGAGCAAACCCAACGCTCCGGTACACATCACCGCAGCATTCAGCGCACGCCATTGCGGTATGAGGTAAGCGCACAAGGCCATATAGGCTCGGAACACAAAATCCAAACCTAAGGCCAATATCGAACCGTAAAGTGATCGATAACGGGCCACAGTAATTTCGTAGACTAACACATTGCCCACGGACACTTTGACTGTATTTCCAATGCCGATCACGGTGCGGAATATGATGTAAACCGCATAATTCGGTGCCAATGAAACCACTATCGTGCCCAATAGTTCGACGCAGCTGAATGCGGTCAATGTTATGCAACGTCCGAAACGATCTCCACACCAGCCGCCGAGCAGGAAACCAAGCAACATTCCGACCATGTACATCGAAGTGCCAAACGATTGTAGAGATCGTTGGTCACAGATAACGTTAAATTCTTGAACGACATTGCCCGGATAGTGGTCTGCATTTGTTTCATAGACATAACCATATGGACACTTTTCCACTGTGGTGGCAGTGGGGTGTGTGGTTTGTACGGACAGATTGAACACTTGGTCCAGATTCGCACTCGTCCAGTTCAGCTGATATCTGGAACAACCGTAGGTAGCACTACCAGTCAAGTTGTTTGTACCGGACACGGTTGACCAAGGTCCGATGCGTTCAGCCACTTGTGTGAATTGCAGATTATGTGTTACAATATAATCTTCCACGGTTGATTCCATTCGACATCGATATTGTCCGACCGAATTCGCGTACACGGGGAACGTGGACGGAGAAGGTGTGGTCAACATGAGAAACAATGCGACAAGCCATTGCCATAGACCATGTGATCCTACCACTTCTTCCAAAAAGTTGTCCACATTTAAAAACTGCGCAATTTCCTCCTGTTCCTCAGTTGTTGGTTCAGCATCTCTACTCTCGTCGTCAGACATGGTTAGACTACGAACCATATCATTGCAGCGTTAAATAGTATTGTAGGTTTAATCTACCAACACCGCAGTTGCATGTTACAGTACTATCTGGCTTGTTACATTCACGGCAAATCATGCTCAAGGTCATCCACAATGAATGCACCAATCAGCATTCAGAAATATCAGTGCGCCATTAGACAGTACTTTGCGAAATAAAACGATACCAAAGTTTAAAAAACTGCAAAATTACACAATAAAAGGAATATCCTCACAGAATATTCTGAAAATCAATCAAGAGTGAAAATTTGAGGTACATTGTTCGCAGGTTACTTTTACAATAAGTAGTGATTGTCGAACATAAAGTTCCTTTTTGGAGTTGGCTGCATATAGATATACATGTGCACTCATAACTATTCCATCATGATAAAACATTACATCTCGAATCTTGTGTATGTTTTTAAAACCTTTCTCTGGCATGATGCCATTCATGAATATCCGTTAGTAGTATAAATTCGCATCCAAGTCCGGAACGACTTACTATTAAATGCTGTACAATATTCGCTTTTTATGGCAGAGTATTTTTGCCATTACCTATCTACCAGTGATTTACCTTTTCCGAACAGTCCTTTCAGAAACAATACGAATATGATAATATATTTAATGAAGCAATTACTTAACCGGATCACTAAGCAGATTTCAAATTTGATTCAACCTGAGGGAGCTAAGAGCAGATTTACGTCGAGACATGGGAATGTATTTGTATTTGTTTAGACTTTAGCGTAAACACATGTCCGCATTTCAGGCAAAAATTACATATCTGATCAAAAGAAACAAATAATATGAGGAAAACGTTTAACCTCCAAGGTTTTTAAGAAATTCAGAGGAAATGCTCTGTCGGTTTACGAGGATTCTGGCGAGATCGGAAACCGGGGAATTTCTGTAGAGGTTAATATGAGAGGATAATAATCGATATAAAGAACGCGTAAATGAATGAGAGCAACATTTGGATAGATTGCTATTTAAAAGATGAGTGAAGTCAGAGAGGATTCTCTGTGCAAATGTTTCACGTGCGAACAAGTGAATTTCACGTTTTTTTTAGATAGATCATCAGTGGGTATAAAAGACACAAGACTGATGATCGACAGATCTCGAATAAGAGTTTTGAAATCTTTCTTGAATAGATCAGCAAAAACAACCGAGGAGTAATAAAGAAGCACGGAAAAAACACATTGATAACCAAAAGACAAAATGATCTTTCGGTGTTATATTGCCTGTGTCTTCGCAGTTGAGAAGATAATCCACGAAGTTTCCTTACAGATTTGTAAATGTGGGGTGTCCGCTTTAAGTTTGTGTCGATTTTAACTCCGAAATACTTCACGGAATCTACTCTAGTTAGGAGATCTGTGTTTATGACCGAGGTTTGATGGGGTAAATAGATCGAGAGAGGGAGTAACTGCATTCGAAGCAGTCGGATAAATTGAGAAACAGTCCATAACGAACGGAAAATTTGCGGAAATGAGATAGGCTGTTCGAGAAATTTAGAAGGTCCTTAGCTAAAGGGCTACGTCGTCAGCGTATGTAAATAATTGGGCTGGATAACTCGCCAAAAAGTCACTGATGTACGTAAAAAACAAGAACGGAGATAGTGCGGCACCCCTTGACACACCAGAATTGTTCACGAGCGGTTTAGATGTTTTCCTATCGAGTCGAGTAAACTGAATTCGGTTTGTGAAGTTGGCAGTGAGCCATACCAGTAGGTGCTTGGGACGGCCAAATTACTCCTTTTTACGAAGCAGGAGGGACCGTGGAATAGGGTCAAATGCCGATGAAAGCTCTAAGAAAAAATCATTTTACATATTTCGCTGATGCGTCTAAGGATTTGGTGACGTAATAAACGTGGGAGGCGACAGTATTCAAAGTCATCCGAACCCATGTGTAAACACCCTATGGGATTTGTAAAAGCGAAGTCTTTGTAAGTTATATCCCATAATAAAAATTTTAATTTTAATTTGAAAAGTGGACCTGTTTGATTCATACGCAAACTGGAGAGGGTCTTTGGTGGTACTGAAAGAAGCAGGCAAGCGTTTGAGAATGGCACGTACAACCAATTTAAGACCACATGACGCTATAGCAATGGAACGGAAACGCCTGAACAGGGTCCTTGATCTACATGATTTTGGAATAGGAATGATCGTGACGGGGTCTCCAGCAATCAGGAATAGAATATGTGCTAAATTATATGTTGGGGATAAAAGTACAGGCATCCATTAGAGCAAGAGTACCATGCTTTAGAAGGGATGAAAATAGACCGTCGGGGCCTATACCAGAGAATGATTTAATTGTACGGAGGAGTTCGACTATTTCTTCTCTGCAGAACGGAGTAATATTAGCAGCGTCTTCTGGATTCCATGAGACAGGATGTACAAATGCACGATATATACTCCCGGCGTCCGCGGCACATTTATTTGTTCCTGATCTCACTCCATACAGGATCCGAATTCCTTTCCATATATGCCACTTGTTTTGACTGCATAGGATGTGATATCCATAGGATGAGCCAAAAAGTTAAATTTCCTTTTTTATCAATGTAGAAATATAACTGACCATTGATGAGTTCCGGGATTTGCACACATTTTCCTTAAGTATTCCTAATGTTTTGAGTTTCGAAGGGGCAATATAACCATTGGAAATAAATAAGATTTCCAACAACAACAGACATGAGATGGCAAAGATGGAATAGATTGTATCGACAAAAAAACTAAGATTGTTGTTCAAGGAATGCTCAAAGGAGAACCAGGAAGCTGCATGGAGCAGTGATCTTTGAGGGAGACGAATACATTCACGTGATATGTTACGAAGACGGAATTTAATTTTGTTACTTTGCCAAACGAATGAAAGACAGAACGGAAATATATCATAAGCCTTAAAAGGAGTAGACAATGATCGCTGGTTGATACGGGTGCACGTAGATGGAGGGAGAAGAATTCGGGTTGATTTGTTATAATTCTGTGTAAAACGGGGTTAACTCTGCTCAATGAGACGCATAAGTTGGTTAGATCCAAATCAATGAGAGGTTGGGTTGAGGGATGGTTAAAAACACCCTCAATAATATATAGGTTTTCCCCTAGAAATGGCTCAATAAAAAATAAATATAAGTCGGAGAATGTCGAGGTAGTGCTTTGTGTGCAAAACGGAGCAATATCTAGGAATTTCGCGTAACACTGAATAGATATACAATCAATACCTTTACTTGATTATGATTATGAGCAGCTGACTTGCCACAGTACGTAGTGTGGACTTGGGTAATCACACACGAACGTCGCCAACACATTACTGTCACTTTGTCTTTTGTTACGAAGCTTCTGAGGATGCCATACCTTAGTGGTCGAAAAACATTCTTCCTAATGGCCTGCAAAGCTCGACTACTCAAGCCAGCTGGGGCTGTAGAGAGTGAATTTGCAATCCTTATTCTTACCAAAAAAATCTATATAATAAACCTACCCTCACACGGTAGCACTTTCCAACATATTGGACCATTTATTACTTGTCTTCACGTATTTGTGTATACAAACAGCGTGGTGTTCCGCTGTACGCCCGAGTAGTGGTGCAGTGATGCTATCCCGGAAATAAGTGGTGTATGTTCGCACCAAATGAAACGAGCATTGGTAAAATACTTTTACGGAAGAATTGTTCAGAGACCACAATAAAACCGAGTGTATGTCGGGATGCAAAGCAGAGCAAATGTGATGCTCGTGTTTATTTGTAATTTTTTCCATCCTCATTTTTTCTAAGCTCATGTTCAGAGAATGGGTAAATCCAGTCATTTATGATTCAGTCTCCCTTTGGAATTGAAATGAACTCTAATGAAAGAATGTTCGGGGAACTTTTGACAATGTTGATGCTTGAGCATCACAACCGAAGGTATTTTCAGTGAGGGGAGGACATCCGTGTGCAAGTATACGAGTAGAAAACTCTTTTTTGTCGACCTATTTGATGCCTAAGCCCTTCATCAGAATAAATGTGTCGCCTTTGGTTTGCTAAAAAATCCGGATACGTACTGGTTTGGGGAAGAATGTCACTCTCTTTCAGGGGGGAGGGGAAGGGGCGAGTGTGTGTGCAAACTCTTTCAAATAAGGTGATAATTCACATGGTTTGAAACGTCCTCAGTTGGCAAATGAATCATTTCCTCTGATCGAGAGTAAATTGTTGACCTTGAATGATGACAAAAAAGGTAGACGAAACGATAGTTCAAACAAATGAGACGCATCGATAGATGTGGGACAAGAGACAGCACTTGTCTTATCCCCCTGCCCCCTACACAATGCTTAAAAGGGTAAGAGTATTTCCCTTCTGCGAAATGTCTTTAACCTTGAGATGACATTGAGCAAATCAGACCTGGGTGTAACAGCGAAACAGTGTGACATTTTCTGAGAATATGGAAACTCATTGGTTTAAAAAACACGGACCAAGGTCGTAAAACAGCTCCACTACTCATCACAGCAATCCTGAANGAAGTTATGAGTTATGAGGATTTCACCCACGCCCCCATCTATTCTATAGTTTTTTCTGCAGTCATTCTGTGAACAGTGCCTAACAACATGAACAACTGATTGCATGACATTAGAGGAAAAAGCATTTAGTGTCACTAAGAAGTCACTCGATATCACGACATTTAAATCTATTCTTTTAGTCAAGTAAACTGTACAAAGATATTCATCTAAAGTTTGACACAGATTGTCGGTACAGTGATCCGTTAAAAGTAAGGATTGAAATGTTACTTTCAACTGACAGCAAGTTGTGAACTTCGAAAAAATCAAACAACTAAATCTGATAAATACTTGGCTTCCATCCTCACGGAATGCACATGTTTACTTCTGTTCCGTTATTGGAGTGTAGTATTTGCCCCTTTATGAGTGAACACAGGATGTGTTGGAACGCCCCAGAATGCAGGCGTGGTTAACAAAATCCTAGGTAGAAAAACGCTAGCTATCTTGTTTCATGATCATATGAAACGTGAATGT